AGTGTTGATGTCTGGGCTTTTAGTGTATCTGTCACCCGAATAGTGTAAAGTGTTACCAAGTAGGTAATTTTTCATCCCTCATCTTCCCACTTCCGAGTCTCCATTGTCCATTATGTCATGCTGTATGACTGCATACCCGTAGCTTAGCTCGCACTTACAAGTGAGAACATCTGGTATTTGGTTTTCCATTTATGATTACCTCACTTAGGATGATGGCCTCCAGTTCCATCCAAGTTGCTATAAAGACACTATTTCATTCTTTTTGATGGCTCAGTAGTATTCCATGGTATGTGTGTGTGTGTATGTGTGTGCACACACATACACACACACACACATCACATTTTCTTTATCCATTAGTCAGTTGATAGGCACTTATGTTGATTCCGTATCTTTGCAACTGTGAATTGTCCTGTAATAAATATATGAGTGCAGGTGTATTTTTGATATAATGACTTCTTCTCCTTTGAGTAGAAAGCCAGTAGTGGGATTGCTGGATCAAATGGTAGTTCCACTTTTAGTTCTTTGAGAAATCTCTATACTGTTTCCCATAGAGGTTGTATTAATTTACATTCCCCCTAAAAGTGTAGTTATATACCAACTACTATATAACTATAGAGAAGTTATATACCAACAGTGTATAAGTGTTCCCTTATCACCATATCTGTGCCCCAATCTATTGTTTTCGACTTTTTAATAGTGCCCATTCTGATAGGTAGTATCTCACTGTAGTTTTAATTTGCATTTCCCTGATGATTAGTGATGTTTGGGCATTTTAAATTTTTTTGACCATTTGAAAAATGTCTGTTTATGTTGTTTGCTTAGTTTTTAATAGTTTTTTTTCTTGCTGATTTGAGTGCCTTGTTGATTTTGGGTATTAGTCCTTTGTAGGATGTTTAGTTTGCAAATATTTTCTCTCATTCTATAGGTTGTCTGTTTACTCTGTTGATTATTCCTTTTGATGTGCAGAAGCTTTTTAGTTTAATGAAGTCACATTTGTCTATTTTTATTTTTGTTGCATTTGCTTTTGGAGTCTTAGTCATAAATTCTTTGCCCAGGCCGATGTTGAGAATAACTTTTCCTAGATTTTGTTCTAGACTTTTTATGGTTTCAGGTTTTACATTTAAGTCTCTAATCCACCTTGAGTTAATTTTTGTATATGGTGAGAGGTAGGGATCCAGTTTCATTAATCTGCATGTGGCTATCCAGTTCTCCCAGAATCATTATTGAATTGGGTGTCACTTCCCCAGTGTATGTTTTTGTCTGCTTTGTTGACGATCAGCTGGTTGTAAGTACATAGTTTTATTTCTGGGTTCCTTATTCTGTTCCATTGATCTACTTTTATACTAGTTCCATGCTGTTTTGGTTACTGTTGCCATGTAGCATAATTTGAAATTGGGTAATGTTATGCCTCCAGATTTATTTTTTTGTTTAGGATTGCTTTGGCTATTTGGGCTCTTTTTTGGTTCCATGTGAAATTTAGGGTTGTGTTTTCTAATTCTGTGAAAAATGATGAAAACATTTTGATAGAAAGTACATTGACACTGTAGATTACTTTGGGAAGTATGGCCATTTTCACAACATTGATTCTTGTAATCTGTGAGCATGAGATGTTTTCCCATTTGTTTGTATTATAGATTTATTTCATCAGTGTTTTTTAGTTCCCCTGGTAGAGATCTTTCACCTCCTTGGTTAAGTATATTCCTAGATATGTTGGGTTTTTTGAAGGTATTATAAACAGGATTGAGTTCTTGACTTGATTCCCAGCTTGGTTGTTATTGGCATACAGAAATGCTACTAATTTGTGTTCAATAATTTTGTAACCTCAGACTTTACTGTATTCACTTATCAAATCTAGGAGTCTTTTGGAGGGGCCTTTAGGGTTTTCTAGGTATAGGATCATAACATTGGCAAACAGAGACAGTTTGACTTCCTCTTTTTCAATTTGGATGTCCTTTA